CGGGGGGGGGGGGGGGGGGGGTGATGGAGCATGCGTATCTCGGAGAGTGATCAACTTGCAACGCGGACAACGGAAAAGTATCCTACGACGTCCTCCGCATCCCCCGACCTTGACCCGACCATCCCTGCCTGCCTGCCTGGCCTGCCTTCTTACCACCCTGTCCTCCTGTCTCTTTTCGCTTCCACCTTGTCGCCCTTGGTCCGAGTCTGGAGCCAAATCCCGCCTCCGCCCCCTTGCTGCGTTCGCCCCAACAAACCACAACAAACATGTCATATATGACGGAAGCACAATACCGTAACCAACCGCATCTCGAAGGTCCACGGATCGCACAAAATGCGATACACGCCGCCTCCTTGTTGCCCTCACACCCTGTTAGGGAGGGGGGGGGGGGGGGGGGGCGGTCACCCGAATACTTTGCCTAACGGCGCACGACGGCCACCAGATTTTCTTCCTTCCTTCCAACCAAGCAAGCAAACAAGCAAATCAAGTTCTCACACATACAACAAGATGCCACAGATGCCACAGAGTACGAACTTTTCTTGTTGGCTTCTTCGTTTACTCAGATCCCCTAGCAAAACAGCCAAGCGGCCATGGGCCGAGAGAGAGATAGAATCGGTCGGGCGAGGCCGGATCGAAACTCGGTTTTGCAGGGGTGGGGGAATGCAGACAAAGTGTCTTCGGCGAGACGAGAGCCACGGGGGTGCAAGAGCAAGAAAATAAAATGCAGCAAGAAAGTCTAAGGCAAGAAGACGCTTCACTCATTTCGTTTCGTTTTCGTTTCGTGCTTCAGTTTCCAGGATACATAGGATAACACAGATGGATGGCCAAAAAAAAAAAACCAAAAAAAGATCCATGATCGGTCATAGAAGAGAATGGGTTAGCGGGTGAAGTGGGCGAAGTAAACGAGAACAACGAAACAAAGATCTCAAGATATTTCGGAATAGCTGGAGACTCGCACCAACAAATAAAACATGGAGAAAAACAAACATTCTTCTACTAGAGTACTAACTAAATCTATCCATCCGTGATATGAAATGAAAGTGCAAATCTAAAACAAACAAACAAGCAAACAAGATTCCCCACGAGAAAGAAAAAAGCGACCGTTCCTTTCCTCACAGTACGTTTCCAGGCCTGGCCAGAATCATTCCCACAAAACAAAACCATGTCATGTCGTCAAGGAACCCAAAGCGTATCCTATCCAAGCATGTCGTAAATCGTTTCAACCAAACAACATCCAAAATCCAAAATCCAAAATTCCACCAGACAGCTGTAAACCTCCTCATCGTTGCCGTCGTAATCATTGCATTCTTGCCCGATCTCTCCCAATCTCAATCGCGCACGTTGTCGTCATCACTCACAGATCCTTTTTCGGCGGTGGCTTCACGGTCGCGTGCGTCCCTCCCACAATGACGGTGAACAACTTGGGGTCGCCGGCGTGCACCTCACCACTCTGGTCGGCGCCGCCGCTCGGCTGGACATCGTCATAGGGGAAAGCATAGCCCTTCCCGTCCAGGTTGAGAGAGTGCACGATCCGGGAGTAGTGGTTCGTGGTGGGGTCCTTGTAGTACATGCTTTGAGGGGCCGGGAAAGAGTTGGAAACGAGCAGGGTCGACCGGTTGAAGGCCGCCGCCAGTCGGGGGATGATGGCGTTGGTTTGGGCGTTGGCGCCCGTCGCGAACGGTCCGGTCGAGCAGGTGAAGATGTCCCGGGTCGACGGTTTCGCGAAGCTCGATCCGCCAAAGTTGAGGGTGCCGTTGTTGTTGACCTTTGCCGACACGGTGCCGAACGAGGCTTGGGTGTCAATGGACATGGATTGAGAAGCAAACTTCTGCCAGACTCGGTTGATGTAGCCGTCAAAGTAGTTTGCAAACAACGAAGGGTTGGTCACCATCCCTTGATTCGGCGACAGCGCACGCAGGTTCCGCCCATTGTGGGTGACAATCAGTTGATCCCAGCCCTTGCCGTCGGCGGCCTGCTGGGCGCGGAGACCGTTGCAGACTTGGTCCAGGCCGTTAGCAGGCATCCCCGAGACATGCTGGGTGGCGCCCCCTTGGGTCGTGAGGGTCAAGGCGATGGGTGGGCCGACGAAATCGACGTAGCTGATGTTGGCGTATAGTTGGTCACTATTGAATGTGAACTCGGCAAAGCCCCAATTGGTGTTGGCATTGGGATCGGACGGATTGGTGACGGATGGCTCGACCAGCGCGGGCCCTGGGTTGAGCAGGAATTTCAAAGGCGCATCTATCGAGAACCAAATGCGGCCGCCGGCGATATGGGGTATTGTCACCGTCGTTGTGTGGCCCGGAGCTCCGAGGGGAATCGCACAATTTTGTGGGATCGACGAGCCGACCGCACCCGGAGAGCTGGGATAGAAAGGGGTTCTCCCATCCGCGGAGAGGAGAAACAAGGCGTTGCCACGGTCGATCGCTTGACCTGTGACATAGGCGTAGACAGTGTTGGATGTGGTCTGGTTTTGTAACGCAATTTGTAGACTTGAGCCTCCTGCCGGAGCTGAAGTCGGCTCAATCACAGCCTGCACTTGAGGGGCGGCGGAAGACTCTCCAGTGCCGACGCGTCGAATAAATTGTTGAAGGCGCTGCATTGTTACCGATGGTCGCGAAAAGAAGACTTGACTGAGCTGAGCTAATTGAGTTGAGATGAGACGAGTTGAGATGGGATGAGGATTGAGAATTGAGAATTAAATCGATGTCGAGATATGCTCGAGACTTTATGTCTTTCTCGGAAAAGATGGCGACGTCATTTCCCAGCCAAATGTTTGATATAGCTGCTTAGCTTGGACCTCTCTCACGCTGCCTTGCCTGCCCATACAGAAGGCAACCATCATCCCCCAAAGTCGTCTGATGCTCATTTGCCAATGGACAACAAAAGTTCAAACTTAGATCTTTGTTTCAGGGACTCTTTTACGTGCAATATCAGCCCCGTCGAGGAACGTGGCACGAACCGAGGCTGCTGTACCAGATCTTGACAGGGGTCCGATGGTGCCGCCGTGTCGCTATTGGTTGCGTACCTGACCGGCCCAAAACGCGGATGACCAAGGTTTTGATCGCCTGATTCCTGGTTGCACGCTCGGCACCCATCGTTGCAGCCACACAAGGCCGGAAGATGCAACCCGTGACGTGGCCATCATGAGGTTAATTCCCCTCGAGTGCGACCGGTTTTGGGGCAAGATCCTTTCGTGTTGGTCAAGGGCGGATTCCCAGTTTGATGGGAGGCTCCCGAAACATTGAAGAGTGCGTTTCATTGCGGTCAATCAGTCATCGGTCGTCGATGGATCATACCCTGAAGGACAGTCCTGTTGGTCGCAGAATGCCCACAACCTCACCGTAACATCATACCAAAAAGGTCCAATAACTTGGAAAGACGAATTCTTCCTCAAAGATCTTCCTAACTTGCTCCAGAACGAACTTTTCCACCTTTCCCACGTTTTTGAGTGCTTGTTTGCCCTCCTCCTGTCGTCCAATCTCGCTCTCCACGTGGATTTCCTGCAGTGGCCCGGGCAGACCGGTCCCTGAACCTGTCGTGCTACCTGCTTTCTTACGTTGCTCATTTGCCACGCTTTCTCCCACCAGTGCAGCGGCGTCTTCAGAATCGAGAAAGCAAAAGTGCATCTTTTTCTTAACCCAAGCCACGATAGCGACCCCATCAAATGTCAGACCGGTGATGGCTAGCTTGAGGGGAATCCCAACAAAGCTCGGCATTGGATAGTCAAGTAGAATTTCGGCCGTTAGAGTCATGCGCACGTCCCCAGAATACTTGACTCTTGCCACCACTTGCAGATCTGACGCTTGCCTGCTCTGAAGCCTAGATGCCGACAAAGGCGTCAATGCATCGAGCGTAGCATCGTCCAGGCCGCTATCGCCGATAGGCTGTGCTCGATGAGGCAATCGAGGTGATGAGATTCCGGATTCTGAATCACGCGGAGACGAGATACTGTTTGCAGTGGAAGGTCGCGTAGATGGATCGTCTTGTCCTGTTACGTCTTGACTCACTGGCTTCATGTGCGTTGATCCATGAATAGGCATCTGATGCGGCAGAGCGAAATTATGAGACGGATCGTACGACCAAGATCGAGGGCTGAAAGGTGTTCCACTTGCAACTGCGGCCAACGGAGTCTGAGTCCCAGAGAGGCCGCCTCCAGGGAAATGGAAGTAGCTGAGATTAGATGTGCCGCCTGGGATGCCAGGGGTGGTACTTCTTGGGAAAGGCCCCATAGCAAAAGCCTCGTCGCCTGAACTGAGACCGTCTCTAACTGCAGTCGAGGAATTAAAGTGAGCAAACCCCGAGCCTGTAACTATGTTGGACGGTCGCGGCACCGAACGTGAATGCTGAGAAGACGAGGCAGGACCCTGCGGCTGATAGCGGTTCGTGGTCTCGGCCCGCTCGTTCTGCGCAGACCCAGGCGCAGATTCGTGCGCATCTTGGTCGCCGCCTACCTCCTCCTCTTCCTCTTCCTCTTCATCCTCGTAGAAGTCAGGAAGCGGATCACAGATATCCTTGATCTCGATTTCAGGACAGACTGATCCCAGCTCGAATGAATGGACATGGACAGCATTGATGAAGCGGGGAAGAGGAATCTGCTGGAACTTGTCATGGACGAAAGCGCGAATCTTCTCGGCGAGGGCGGCGCCATCGGGGCCCGAAGTGATCTTCTCCCATCCGATATCCACAGACATCTTGTAGCATCTTCAGGGGTCCGAACGTCGAAGGAGGAGGTGAGGAAACCAAGGATACCAAGGAGGAAAGGTAACAACTACGAGGCTTTCCACTGTGGCGAGGCTTGGCATTGTTGACACTTTGACCAGGATGGAAAAGACATTTCTGCAGCCTTACCCTGAGGACTTGTAGACAGCCTATGGACTAGACCAGATCGCCATCAGATACTGCAGCACACAAGTTGATTAGAATTCTATCGCGACCATAAGAGTCTACTGCTACGGATAAGTCAAGGCTAGAGATGTACGAGGACGAGCCCACACCAAAAAATATGCCCAGATGATCAGCGAGGTGTCGGTGACCAGAACAGGAGGACTGTAAGTTTTCCGCGCAAATCAGTCGTGGATCGTATTATTTGGTCCCTTGTTGATCTGATTGGTATATCAAGTTATGCACCTCACAGGCATTTAGGCCACGCGTATCCTAGGCACTCAGGGTCGGAAGTCCTTGGTACACCGGACAGGCGTCCTCCAGTACGCAGCGTAGGTGTGTCCTATGAGGAGGCACTCAGGAGAAGCGTGCTCCAGGCGCTCAGGGTAGAGTACGTGGGTACATGCATCCATAGAACAAGACTATGAAATCCATGTCTCCTCCCCACCCTGGCGTGTCTCTGTAGTGACTAGATGTATCTGGGCAGGGTAGGTTTCCGCATAGGGTAAACTACACGCATCAAGGGTCGAGGGGGGTCTCGGAACCTCAACGGAGTAGAGAAAGTGTTCTCCTCGAAACATGTGGAGATTGTCCATATCTTTCGCCTCGCCAGCCGTCTCTTGTCTTGACCGCTCTTTTTAGGATTCGGAGGATGTGGTGGCCCGGGAGATTGACTTGTAGGTAGGTCTGGCAAGGGGATGATGTGGTTAATAGTCATGTGTGATATGTTGTGGTGATGTGATGAGGTTGATCAAGGTACTTGAGAAGCTGGTGCTGCTTTAGCTGCCAAGGGCCGCAGCGAGACACGCGAGTCCATGCCAAGCCCCGCACATTGCGGCCTTTTCCCTGCGACTCTTTCACCGCCTTCTTCATCAACTTCATCCTCTTCATTCTTCGTCAATCTTTCATCGTCACGTCAATGTATCGAGAGAACGGTGTCCGTGTATGCTCTCGATGACACCTGAAACGCTGCTGCACGTGCCAAGGTCAAGGTAAGCCCACTTCTTTGCCGGAAACACATTTCCGAGCCCCGGGTACTCCCTCTCGGACTGAAGGAAGCAAAACAATTCCCCCTTCTGTACTCAGTACCTTGCCCACAAAAGAATGTCCGGAGGCAATCTCAGAAAGAACCTTATCGCCTTTCCGTTGCTTTCCGTGGGACCTTGAGATGCTGCACTCCCCCAAAGCCATTGGCACGGTGTGTCTCGTATCACATTCAGGTAGTGTGGGAGTCCAATCCAGCCTTTGGGTCGCCACACACCACGTGCCGCCACAATTCGAGTGAGCTGCCGCCTAAGGCCCGGCTGGACGCCCCATTACCAATGGCCATGACACCGCTTTACCGTCACACTGACAAACGTAAGTGGGAGTCAACCATTTGAAGGGTGTTTCGATGCATCAAAACCACGCATAACTGGCTTCGAGAAATTCTCCGTCATCAGCGTGCGTTACACAGGCGTTGCTCGGGGCCTGATTGTCATGCCACACTAACCGAGGTTAACCACGGTCATTCCCGGGCTTACATTAGCTTGGAACGGACCCACCACTGACGATGTCCATGTCCAAGTTGGAAATCTCGACCATGATGATGCCCATCGAGACACGTCCAAGCACTCCCCCAGCATGCTACCGGTTTTATCCGCGATCGACGGGCTTTCAATTCGCCCTCGACATTGTTCACGGCGAGAACGGTAAGGTCAACCCCTGGCCAAACGCTGCATTGACTAGTGCCTTCGTGAACTAAATCTCGGAATCGTTGTTGTGGAATTGTGGGAGAGGGGAAGTCTACGAGTATAAGAAAGGCACCCGGGCCCAGGAAGCACCCGCACTCTTCTCTTTCCTTGCGACCAAGAAGTTCCCAATCTGTCAAATCCACTTCTTGCCATCCTGAAAAACCTGAGGAATCACGGGCACGCACTGATTTCCAATCTATTGACGCCACACGTGGTATCAATCAGCTTCTGCCGACATAATCTAAGCAAAAGCCCGCACGCGTGATATCCGGTGTCCCGAGGCAACTTTAACAAAGTCGTCGTTGCGTCATATTGGAAAACAAAGAACTCACATAAAGCACATCACAACACTCTTTATTTGCATCATTCGACCTCGGACTTCTTGAGTTCTTCAACCACCAGTTCCCAACCATCCATACATTCCATTTCTTGGAACATCACAGACCAGTCGCTTCTACAAAATGTCCGCCCTCACTAATAAGTTCCTCACCCTCATCCCTGCCGCTCACCGCGTCCATGTGACCTCTCCCATCACCGTCGAGAATGCCACCAGCGACGAAGCAGTAGTCCCTGTACTTCAAAAGACCCGACGATCCAGCTCCAGCGCCTCTGCCGAATCCAACTCGGCCGCTGAAGAACCTGCTCTGCCAACCGACATTGTTGAATCTCCTGTCGAGTCAGTCAAGCGCACACAAACCGAGCAAGTCGTCACCCACCAGTTTTTGAGGTTGGGTAACTAGGTCATGACACCGCGCCGGCAACTTTGCGTCAAAAGTTCACCAAGCTATCTCTTTATGTCGTTGATCTCTTGGGCCAGAGGCGATTCTTTCGGCCTCGTAACGAATTTCTATTACGATTCTGTGTGCGCAGCTGTTTTAACACCTGTTATGCCAGCGGTTACGCTTAGGAGTTTTTTCTAGTACTTTCCTTTGTCATGAGGATGCACAGTACGCTATCCACTGGAAGGGATTGGTTGGTGTTTCTGTACGATTTACGTGGTGTTCTCTCAACTGAGAAGAACCCGAGCAAGAGCAGGATGAGATTGTTTTTCCTAGTTTACAGCCTGGCAAAATGAAGGGCAGTCCTATGTGGGACGAACAATGAGAACCCAACAAGGAATTCATTGTCGCGAGAATGGCAATTTTCGTATTATTTTCAGGTTCTATACTGACAATGGAATTGCATGGGGTCAATATTTCCGGAGGCTTGTTTGCTGCGTTGTCCATCATTGACTTGGATCTGTGCACCATTGCTATGCATGCAACGCTATCTCCGAAACTACTTTTACTACTATTCCCTCCCAGCGCTGGCACCACTACTGGATTGCGAAACAATGCAAGTCGGAATCTCCTTTGCCCACTCTCCCACCCAGCTAACCTAGCCTATTGTTCCGTGACCCACCCTGTGTAGAAGTTCCCCCGATATCTGGACGGTTTGCCCGTATCCGTGTTCGTGCCAGACCAATTATTGTAAAGCCAAATGTCATGATCATGATACCTACGAGACGAGAAGGATGGGGGTGTCCTCGATATGCCATGTCTGTCCAGCCACCCTTCAGCGTCTGCGAATGAAATAATACTAGAACATATATACATACAAACGTGAGATGTGCCTGTTACGTGTACACTTCCTGGGGACCGAATCAAGAGACTTCCTTACTACTCGTAAGAATACTCGTAACCTCGGTGCAGCTCCACCAAGTTCCACGGCATTATCTTCATCAACCTCATCCTCGAAATCATCCTCGAATCCTCATCGTCATCATCAGCTGTCTCCACTCTGGAACGCAGCCCCCTAAGGTAGGTAGGTAGGTAATGACCAACGAATAAGCAGAAAGGAAAAAAGACCCAAGGAAGGCGATGGACAAGGAGTAACGAGAACGAAAACGAAAACGGATGCCTGCCCGTTTGCCCTACGAGGACCTACGAGGAGTCTAGGAGGCCGAGTAGTAGTAAATACCCCTGTCCTGGCCCCCAGTCCCAAACTCCAAGTGCAAGTTCAAACCCCACTCACTCGCTGAGGGTGGTCTTCCGAGAAGGACTGTGCCATTATTCATGACTCGTACCCGGTGCTTGCCTCTTATTCCGGACAGACTTGTTGCTGGACCTTGTCCTCGCCTTGGTGGTTGATCGTTGATGGTTGGTGGTTATGTGGTTAGTGGGCACGAGGGTCTCAGGTGGAAATGCGGGGTCATGCCGACTTCGCGTCTTGAAGCGTCTGTCGGCGACGGTGGGATTGGTCCATCCTTCCACGACTCCCGGGGAGATGTGGGGTGGACAGAACGAGGAGGAGGGCTACCGCGATCGAAGATTGGTCCGTACCAGGCTTGACAAGGTACGTAGGTCAAAACAAAAACCCTTGGACCTGGGGCTTGAGAAAGGGAAAGACGGGACGGGTTTTGATGGCCGAACATTTTTTTGATGATGGACGTTTCCCTCCGTCAAAGAGAAAAGAAGACAGACTTCCGTAAAACCCGAAGAGAATACTCGGTAGATCCAATGAAGATACCACTGGTGCCCACCTCCAGAAACAGGCTCGGCTCAACAGGCCGGTCCCTAGGATGAATTTCCGGGTCAATAATGTCCACAATTCGATGTCGATGTTGTGATTGTAGATGACAAAGACAATAAAACTCCGTGCCCCTTTTCTAACGGAAGACGGCCCGACCAACTTATCCAGAAAATGGCCACAATCCACCATGCCATGAATCCCCCGCAAACCCCCCCTTCCTCCAGCAACCCGAACAAAGACTTGTCAGATGAAAATCCCCAGTGTCTCGGTAACTTGGACGACAAGGCCCCCAAGGGTTGTGTTCGCGACGCTAACACCGTAAACACCCAGGCCGGTAAGGAGGAGTCCAGTGTCAGCCTCAAACGGACCGAGGAGGTTACCGAGGATGCCACCTCTTTCGGCGAGGTTGTTCAGCACTAGTTAGAATGAGTCTCCGTCCTATCAGGCATTCTGAGCGGCAAGCGATACACATACCTCCAGGTGCCAATAGCAGGGGTTCCGCAACAGGGCTGGTATTTGCCATGCTGGCCATGAACGGCAAAAATGCAAGCAAGATCTGAGTCTTCATCTTCTGGGTCGAGAGCGTGCTAATACTGATCGCTGGGTAAATCTTGAGGATGACCAGGGGTTGGAGGTCGAAAGATTCAGGTGCGTGTCGAAGAGCTTCGCGCAGTTGACAATAAGGATATGATCATGATCTTATATCTCGTCGTGCCCTATATCAGGCGAGAGAGTCTTGCCTCCTTTTCAGCAATGCATCCTTCGCACCTCTCCATCGGAGGATGCGTCACCTGTGCTTGAGCGTCGTGGGCGTGTGGCCTGTTTCCCTCGAACCATTGTCGAAAATTCGAAACCCCTGAAACAAGGCTGTCGCACAGTAACCGCATTCTCGGGACATTGAAACGCAACGACGTAGTTTTGTTGAGGCCGCCACTGAATTATGTCCTTCTCTGAGCTGAGAGGTTCGGGATCTATCAATCTCAACCGTCAAGATGACAAAGTCAGGGACGCATTTGATGGTTCCAAACCTCGAGGCGTCTTAGGGAGTGGACCATTGCTGATCGGGGATTGTCGCAGCAACTGACTGACAGGTTGCAGCCCTCTTCGTCTCTCTCGACACCCTACCACCCAAGGTTCTGCCAAAATACACAAGGAACAAAACCCCCCCGAGGCTGATTGGATTTAGGGGGAGCCTCGTGGTCGGTTGACTTTCCTCCAGGGAGAACCAGCTCGGCTAACGAACCCCCAAAAGGGCAAGTAACAACTACTGCGTTTCTCCAAAGGCGTCACTGCGCATCTTCCCCCGCAATAGATCCCAAGGTCTTTTGATGTCGCACTACTCCGTTCCGTGCGGCCTTCTGTTACATTTTCGATTCTGCTTTCAAATATTGTGATTGTCTGTCCTACGATGAGCTGACACCGACCTCTATCTCAGCTCGTCTGTTTCCCAACTCTTGTGTCAAAACCTTCCGTCTCGTCGTAATGCCTCAGCTACTCAAAATCGGGGTATCCCAATCCCGGACTCTCTCGTCCCTGCAAGAGACCTTGTCCGCCCTTCGTGAGACCACCCAGTCGGCCGCGCAGAAAGGCGTGTCCATTCTTCTCTTCCCTGAAGCCTACCTAGGGGGGTACCCGAGAACGTGTTCATTTGGCGCAGCGATCGGCGCACGGACAGCCGCAGGTCGTGATCAGTTTCTTGCCTACACAAAATCTGCAGTTGACTTGGGCGATACACCGTCGGGGGCTGGGGATGACTGGACGGACAGAAAGCTGCCAGTGAACAAGGAGACCGGTCGGAGAGGGGATGGAACCCGAGAGTTTCTCGAAGAGGTTGCACGAGAGACCGGCGTCTTCGTCGTGACTGGACTCATCGAAAAGGCAGGAGGCAGTCTGTATTGTGCTGCAGTATACGTCGACCCAAAGAGAGGTATCATAGGCAAGCGAAGGAAAATCATGCCTACGGGGTCGGAACGGCTGGTGTGGGCGCAGGGCCAACCTTCGACACTGAAAGCGGTGGCTACGACCGTCAAGGGAATCCGAGTGGTCATGGGATGTGCTATATGCTGGGAGAATTTCATGCCCCTGTTACGGTACAGTCTCTACAGCCAGGGCGTGAATCTATGGCTGGCGCCTACAGCTGATGCGAGGGATACGTGGGAACCGCTGATGAAGACTGTCGCTGGAGAGGGCCGTTGTTTCGTTCTCAGCACCAACCAATGCATGAAGAAGAAGGACTTGCCTAGTTGGGTCACGGGCAATCCAAGCGAGTGGTTGGCGAAGCAGCCAAAGCCCGAGTCGGAGACATTGATGAACGGGACTGCTTCTTCACATCACCATTCAGTGAGTAGTGGTGGCCGAAGGCTGTCCATGACCCGGACGGAAGAAAATCACGAGATTGCATGGCGCTGCAAAGACTCTCCGATCGACGAAAGCAAACCCCTCGAATCGTCCCAACAGGAAGTGAACAACAACAACACCACCACTCCCTCTACGCTCCCTGACGGTGAGGAATATGTCACCCGAGGCGGCGCCTGCATCGTCAACCCGCTAGGCCAGACCATCGCTGGCCCGGTATGGGAGAAGGACAACGAGCTCCTATGGACGGAGGTCGACTTTGACGATTGTGAGAGGGGACACTTGGATTTTGATGCCACGGGCCATTATGCACGCCCGGACGCGTTCAAGTTGACCGTCGAGGGGCTGGAGTTGATTCCACCCCCTTGAAACTAGCCATCTATATATTAAATATATATACTATCCCCGAACAATCGTCGCCTACGACTTTTTCGCCAACTCATCTCTCGCCGCTTTCCTCTCCCGCTAGCGACTATTCAGTCGACTCGCTCTCTCGCGCGCTCGCTTCTACTCTCTTCCTCTCATTCGCGCTGCCCTTCCACTCCCTTCTGCTCTCTTATGGCTCTGCCCGCTCCTGTTGTGGTCTCTCGCCTACTAGTAGCTTCGAAAGGCAACACCAGTCATAACAGTGCCTAGACGACGCTAGTATCGAAGATATACGTAGCTAGTCTATTTTAAGTCTAACAGGACTTCCGGCTGCAATGCAATTCCCAGTGACCCTAGAATCATAGTGTGCGCACCTTGAGAAATCTCAGATCAACCGACCAATGAGGTGACTAGGGTTTAGCATGTATAGAAATAGTAAGGGGTGTGGATCTTACCTAAGTTATGCGCTTCTGTATGTAGGTAGTAGTCTCACCACCACCTCTCCTCTCCTCACCTCAAAAACTAAAAACTTTTGGAAATTGCTATATTGATAAGATCTCAGATGACGGAAAGCAGGCATCATACATGATAAGCGGCCAAAAAAATGCAACATGCCTCGGACGAGAATCGAACTCGTGACCTTCGGATAGCCCCCCGTGTGTTGCACAGGATCATAAATCATTTATGAGACCGACGTCATAACCGACTTTCAGACAGTTAGCTTGAATCAAAGAATGTAGAGACGGAAAATCTTACCTAGACCACCAAGGCAATTAATTTAATTGGATTTGAGACGATTTTTGGGCATGAGAATTATTATTTGAAGCAATTTTTGGCTGTGGGAGCGGAGTTTTCCGTACCTGTTCAGTGCCGGGGGGGAGGGGAGCAGCGTGGCCCGAAAAGTGCCTCACGGTGCCTGCATAGACTTTGGTAAAAACATTCACGGCTCAGCATGGCTTGTGTCGCGACACGGGCCAAATAGCGAGATGCTCAGGTTTAGAAGCGGAAATGGACTTTAGAGAGATTGAGATTCGCCGTTGAGCATGGTGGTATAGGGCTCATGATCGAAGAAGCCCCTGAGCCCGAACTGGCTTCTGAGAACAGGCACTTGAGAAGCTCCTGACTGCTCGTCCAGTGTGTATATATATATATTCCGTATCATATGGCAACTGTGAAAATAAACAAAGGAAACGGATCTTTACAAGGATTAGATGGGAAGTGCGTCGTCCATATACTACGCAACCCTCCCTGCTCATCAGATCAAGCCGCCAAAGGAAGAAAAGGCGTAACACGTAAAGTAAACGGTGTGGAAAGACCATGGCGAGAAGATACCCTTGCATATAACTATGCCTTTTCTGCCATTTCCCTTTTCTCACGCATCCCAACAAGCCAGCAAGCCTTGGTGGCCCTGGCCGTCCAATCCTGTCTTCATTCTCATCTACGCCTTTTTCAATCCTCTTCTACCCTTAAAGGATCTCTACCACACCCTAACCTGCCTTATCACCATACCACCACATCGCCCTACCTGTCTTGTCTATCCTCATCCTCATGACATCCCGACCTGATTATCGCAAGTTGTCCCGCCGGATAAATTACAACAGCCACCACGCACGCACGCGGCAAAGATGGTCTCGTACTCAAAGATCGGCAGGTGAAAATTTTATTCTGGTCTCATGCGCTGCGTCAAGCAGGCATCCAGCTCAAGATCAAGCAATGGGAGCAAAAGAATGCAGATCGAGCGAGGTAAGAGACGGACATCGCGGAGAGATGTGTGCCAGCACGGCAATGGGGCGGACTTGTAACAAAGAGATGGGAGAAGAAAATAAAAGGGAGGAGAAAGAAAAAAGGGAGATAGGGTTGGTGGTAGTCTCGTCACAAATGACTCGACAGGGGCACACGGGCATGAGAGCCTGCGAGAGCATGACACCAGGGTGACGCCAGGTTTGTGTCCGCGTGGTCAGAGGGCAAGATTGGTCTGCCCAGTTCCGAACAGTGTTCGTTTTCTTTTGACAAGAGTATAGCTCGACTCACATTTATTCCTCCGTCACACATTCGGTGACGGCCAAGGGTATCGTCAATCCAAACCCGCTTCCACCCAGATTCGGCCTCCCATAAACACAGCAAGATCATTTTCCCTGGCGCCGTTCATCTCCGGACTGTGACCAGTATCATATGGTAGAATCAATATGCCACTCGTGTCCTCATATCCGAAATCTTCCTCTCAATCTCCCTTACACTTCGGTCCAGCTCTCCTGCTATCATCTGTTTCTTATCATTCGAGAGCAAAAAGAAAGTCTCGCACAAATCGCCATCAATGATCCCTTTGGAGGGCGCGTAGTATGAGCGGTAGATGAGATGATCTCGACCCAAAATTGGGGGGTTGCCATTGTTCGACGCGAGTTGCATCTCCAGAGACTGGAAGAAATCAACGTCTTCGCGACTTACGAACGGCACAAGCATGCCCAGCGTACCCTGAAACCCCGTCCAGAACACCACATCTCGACCACCGGCCACGAGACTCGTCTTCTGGATGCTGGTGGGAATGTCGCCGGGGAAATAGTGCACCATGAGACTCAGTCGATTGGGTGCACCGCTGAGATAGGCTCGTTCATGAATCAAATGTGCTCCTGAGCCATCTTCGTCGGCCTCTTCAGAAGCCTTGGTTGGGCAGCGCAACAACCAGAGATTCCCGAACTTGTCGCCGCCTGCCACAGTTTCATAATCGACCATGGTGCAACACGTTGTCCAGCGAGCAATGACGTCGTCGACAAATGGAATAAGTTTGTTTTCTTGGTACTTGTATACACAGTATGTTACACTCTCCTGGATATCGCTGACGATAATTCTGCTTCCCTGGGTCTGTAAGCCAACGACGATGTTCGGGACTGCTTGAACTTGGCACTTGCGCAACATTTGTTTCATTCCGAGGTCGTAGATGCGTAGATCTGGTCCAATACCTGCTAGGAGCCGGCCCTGGAAAGCAAGCAAGGCGGTTGGAGGTTGCTCCACTTTTGTTTTGTGGATGAATTCGAGTTCCTTACCGTCTTCGTGGAAGCGATAAACATGTAAGAAACCGGCCGAGAATGAACGAGGACTGATCACCAGATCCTTTGCCGTCCCGACAATTAGGAAGGTCTCGTCATCTTGTCCTGCGAATGGCGCTGCTGTGATGCTGGTGGCACATTCATTATCCTCCAGCTCAAGAGTGAAGACGACGGATTTGGTCGTGACTGGGTCGACGATCTGGATACATGACGCCCAGTGGCCGGTCCCACGAGGATAGCCAAACTCTTCGGGAGGGAGTTGGACAGCGTCTCCATTAACAGCCGTCGATTCTGTGAGCAATTTTGTTCTGGTGGCAGGTGCAAGAACGTTGTTGTCTGCTTCAATAACGTAGAACAAGGGTTGCTCAGGATGTTTGACGAATTTCCTGGGCGTGTACGAGAGTGGGATATTCTCTTGCAGTAAGTTTCGGGACAGATCTTCGATCGTAAATATCCTAGAACGGACAGTCAGAAAAGCCAGAGAGGAAGAATTTCGAACAGATTGCGGTTGAGTAACATCAGAAGGAACAATTGGTTGAGTTTTGGAGTCCGCATGAGTCGTTGACTCTCGGAAAGAGCATAGTTATGGGTTCATCACTTGAAAGACTTCGACTTTGGGAATAGAACTTGCCTTAGATTTTGTCCTTGTATGCCCACCATTCCCTCGGGACATTGTTCGCTTGTAAAGTTCCAGACGTACTGTAAACCAACGTAGTCGAGTGGTGTCAGCATGAAGCCGTTTGTTTGCCTATCCGTATATCCAAGCCAGGGCCGTGAACTTAGTGCCATGACGGCATTCTGTCCCTTGACCGAGACGCGGAAAAGCTTTGCCGGCTTCAGGCCCAAAAAGCGCGTTCGCGTGTCTGAAAGCTCACCAGTGATCTCATCTAGCACGGTTCGCAAGTAGACACCTGAGTAGAGACCGATATGGAGATAGAGCGTACTCCCGCCGGATGTGGAGTCAGCCATGGCCATGATTGACAGAGCTGAAGGTGCCGAAGTCAACGCTTGCACTGATTTGTTTTCAAGCGTTGAATCGGGGTCGAGACTTAATATCCTGACTGTGGAATCGTCGCATCCAACAGCAAGGAATGAGCTTCGAACCCGGCCCTCGGGCACCTCTCCAAGTGATAGACAGGTCACGGTTCCGGTCATTTCTCTTCGCTCATCATATTCTGCCAAGGATCCATCAGAGTCCATTTCAAAATAAACAATTTCGCCTGAACTCAGAGCTACAGCGACTTGTCGCTCGTTTGTGGAGGCAGCGACAATGGATCGATGCTGAGGTGCCGGCCACTCGTTCACCCGCTTGTCGGCTCGAATGTGTCGGATACCCTTGGGGTGTACTTGAATCAAAGCATCCTCGCCCAGCTGTTGCACGGCAAGGGTCGGAGCTGTTGAAAGAAAACCCGTGTCTGTGACTTCTTCCACGGTTTCCCCAATGCTAAGCACTAGGGTTCCGGTGCGGAAAGATAGCACGATATAAGCGTCGTACTCGTCTTCTCTTGTCAATTTGGTCGTCCACACAGCCTCAGGCTTGTCAGGGAGCTCAGATTCCACAATCTCCGAAACAGACAGACCGTGCTTGAGAGTCTTGAAACTGCTTCGAGCACCCGATCCGCATATCGAGTAGATCTGTGGCGCATCTTCATCGAGAAGGTTGGCAACTTTGCAGTCCAGTAAGGGGTTTGCAGCATCTATGCTTTGCACAAGGTTGAGATTTGCGAGAGGTCGCACATGGAAAAAAGCCGGGGTGTAAGGTGCTGTTGGATCTGAAGGGAAATCGTCACTCGTGAATTCTGTCTCATCGTCGTCATCTCCGAGCTTTTCAAATTGGTAGAAATGGTGGTTGCCACTTTCGCAGGCCACAAATAAAAACCCACTCTTTAAGATGAGCAGGTTGTTCGCCACAGGCACTGTGTCGAAGTATTTCAGTTTAAGTGCCTTGACCTCACCAGTCGGCTGACCATTCTCGTCCTCGACCATTTCTATGGTGACTTTGAAGAGGTCACCGTCCTCGGTTTGGAGAAGCAAGAAGAACTGGCCTTTCATTTTGTGCATAACTCCCGCCACGATGTGGCGCTTGCGCTCAGGATTCTCGAGCACACCTCTTCTCCGGGGAATTGGCACACGAAAAGCCTCCTGATTTGAGTGTCGGTAGGTGATATTGTCTTCACCACAGACGAGAACGCCACTCGGCCCATCAGATCCACCAGGCACCTGGAACAGCTTGATGGCACTCCTTGCCACAGGCTCAGCCCACTTACGGACAACATGGTTAAGGCCAAGGTCAAGCTCGTAATAGACTAGAAGCTTTTCCACCTCTTCCAGGGCCTGCCCACTGGGATCCTGGTCCACCTCGGTGTAATCGACTTCGAGCGCCGCGAATATGGGGTTCTCGTAACCGACATCAAGGGCTATGCATTCAAAGACGAGAGTCTGAGGTTTATGGGCTTCGAGCGGCGAAGAGATGGTAAGCTCGGCCTGCGCATTTCGATTCAAGACGTAGACCAGCTTGTTCTTTTCGACGGACGCAATCAGACACGCTCGTCCTTTCGGATCGACAGCGAGATATTGACCGGGAATGACTCTTCGGATGCCCGATTTGCCGTAGGTCTCGAGATGGACGCGATTGAACCGATTCTGGTCGCGGAGATATTCGAGGATGGTGATGCGCCCCGAGTCCGAGCCGACAATTAGATAATCTACCAGACATATTAGTATGTCTTGGTAGATAAAAAGATGATACTGACCTTTACTGCTCCCCGCCAGTCGGAAGGCGGCCAGAGACCTGATGATGCCGAAGCAATCCTGGGTGAAGAGAGGGGAGATTTTTCCCTGCGTAGGATCGGGTCTGTGGATGGTGAGCTTGGAGCCCGATGCTGTGATGATCTGCTGCTCTTTTGTACCGGCAAACTGACCCAAGACTGCTTGAGTGATGGCTGAAGGCGGTTGTATAGTCAAGCTATACATAAACATAGAGCTTGTCGTCGCCATGATTGCGCTTGACTGAGGAGAATTCCGGATTGCTTTCTAAATGTGCGTTTACTCTAGGAGACGCCCGGTGACATGGCTGCTTGCATTGTCGCAGAGGATCGAGCCTAGAGTATGCTGATAGAGTGCTTTTCTGAGGTCTTCAATTCTCAGCCATGGTTCATCGAATGGACCTCGCACCGTGCCGCATTTCGCAGACTTTCCAGTTGCGCAGAAAAGTTCCAAGTTTGCCAAGAGCAAGCTCACGCTAGCCAACTGACGGAGGCAACTGCGCCGATAGCCACTTGGCCACTGCAAGTGAGGGAGGGAACAGGGGAGCCAGGCAAGGGAGCTTCCCCTCGCCTCTAGTGTTGGTCTTAGCGGCGCAGGCAGCCCCTCCCTTTAAGTAGAACTGCACAATAAAGGCCCCGGTAATGTGGCCAACCACGGCTAGTACCCGCAGCTTCGTACTTGTAGGCACAAACCGACTGCGCAAAGCCGATCAACTTCGTCACTCTTGCCATCGGATCCATCTGCCAGGTGGTCAGTCTCTTGGTTCTTGCTCTTGATCAGAACTCTTGACATGCCATTCTACGTCCGCACTTGTTCCTCTTACCTTCTCAATTATCCCGACTCCCTCTAGAGATCGTCGACGCCTTATCCTCCCTCGTCTTGCGTATCTCTGACAGATCCATTACCCAACAAGCAGCCCTAATCAGAGCTCCGTTGTCCGATCTGAGCATCACCTATCATCCGTCCCAATTACAAATCCATCGAACGAAAATCGCTCTGCCTGAACGGCTTCGCAACGATGGCCGACAGTGCTGGCGCGGAAGATGCCACTGTCACCTTCCACGTCAAATCCTCGGGTAGCCAGAAATGGACGCTGACTTTGCCTTTGTCGACGACGACAAGTGAGCTGAAGAACAAACTCGCTTCTGAAGAATACGCCAATGTCCCAGCTTCAGCTCAGCGGCTGATTTACAGCGGGAAGGTGCTGAAAGACCATGAAACTCTCGCCTCTCACAATGTGAAAGAAGGCAACACGATGCATCTGGTGAAGAGCGCCGCTAGCAATCAAAGACAGAACCCGGCTACACAATCCTCGTCAACCTCGACTCCAACCTCGGGAGGTGCACCGCAACCCGCAGCTGGGGTGCCCCAAAACCTGGCATCGGGCACTGGGAACGATCCTTTGGCTGGCTTAACGGGTGCCCGGTATGCGGGATTTGCCCAGTTGCCAAATGCCAGCATGTTTCAAGAGAATCTTACCCCAGATGACTTCCTGCGCCAACTGGATAACCCCCATTTCCAGCAGATGATGCGTGAAGCCATGGGCAATCCCCAGGTTCAGGACATGATCATCAACCAGAACCCCCATCTTAGAGCGATGGGCCCGCAGGCGAGACAAATGCTCAATTCCGACTACTTCAGATCTATGATGACGAACCCTCAAATGCTGCGGAACATGATGCAGATGCAGCAGCAGATGGGTATGGGTCCTTTCGGTGGTGCGGGCGGAGGAGAGGCATTTCCAGCACCTGGCGTCACCAATACAACAGAACCGGGCACTGCCGGCAGCACTCCTCAAAACGTACCTAACAATCCACTAGGAATGCCGCCGCAAGGTCAACCTGGCCAGGCCGGGCAAACAGAACAGCTATTGTCGATGCTACAAAATTTGAGACAAACGAATCAAGCCCTTTCCCATCTCTTTGGTGATCCCAATGCCCAGGCGATGGGAGCGCGCAGTGGAGAAGCTGGGTCTGATAACCAAGCAGCCGCTGGCCAACAGACTGAAAATACAGCAAACCCGACGGCGCAGCGCATTAACCCTTTCATGGCACTGTTTCCACAGGCCACAGGACCTAGCACCACATCTCCTCCGCTAAATCCTTTCAATCCCCAGCAGAACCCGTTCCTCCAGAACCCAGAGGCCATGCAACGATTCCTGCAAGACATGAACACTGGGCAAGGTGGCGATGGCACAGATTATGGTGGCTTGTTCAATCTTCTTGGTGCCGGCCGGCCCACATCGCCGCCTGACAGCCGGCCGCCTGAGGAGCGATATGCACAGCAACTACAGCAGTTGAATGAGATGGGCTTCTACGATTTCGACCGAAATGTTCAGGCGCTGCGAAGAACTGGAGGCAATGTAAACGGCGCAATCGAATACCTGCTCAGTCACCCTGCAGACTAGCGATGCGATGCGAAGATGTGTTGACTTCTCGGGAATTGTTATCACAGCGGTAGCGAAGGGCCTGCCTGCAACATACGCCAGCAATATGGTTTAATGAGAGGCAAGCTCGACATGTACAATGTATGCACTCCACAAACAAGTCCTTTCTCGCCTCGCCCTGCCCTTCTAGTTGTCGTTTGTTACTTCGCCAAATCGGAATCCCGTGCTCAGTCCAAGCCCTGTTCAGAGCTATCAGGCTCTTTGATCTTACGCTGGACGTTGAAGGTGTCGAGTGTCCAAACCACATCACGCCTGTCTTCCCAGCATCAATTCGGCACTTGGCCGATGACTCTGTGCCAGCACCTCTTCACTCATTCCAGCATTTGTTCAAAGGCTTTCATGGAGCAAGTCTACGGAGCGCATAATAGTTTCCCGATCCAGGCAGGTTTTGTGCACTACATGTCCAGGATTAACCCAGCGTTAGATCCACGCATAGCTTTCTTCTTCCGACATCATCAACTTCAATCTCTCTTACTGACGATGCATCTAACAGACGTCCGACTCCCTGAAACTTCAGTGCACTCTGGACGAAGCGACCACAGGATGCCTCTGCTCTGTGCACCAGCTCTGGACCACTCTGACCGTTCAGAGCTTCTGGCGAGGCATCACCAATATACACATACACTCTCACATGCTTGATCCAACGCCGATGACGAGGTTGGATGCCCAAGAACAAACTCTCCATGCAGAGCCCGCTGCATACATTGAATCGAGGTGGCGAGTTGAGCAACGGACGAACTTCGTCATGGATCTGGCGGCATACCCTTAGGAAGCGGTTATCGAAAATTTTGTAGGCGTTGAGCGCTTCACAGCATACGCCGGCGTGTTTGGACGTGCACTTGCCAGGTGTTGAGTGGCATTTGCAGGCGTGGACTTGAGTTGGGCCCAGGGCAAGCGTCCATATCTGCCGTCGCAGCTCGTATGGCAGAGCGAGAAGAGGAGGAGGAGGAGTCATGATATGGTCGCAATTGGAGCGGAAGTAGAAAAGGGTCTTTGGTGTTGTAGGGATTGAACCTGCTCAGGTAGAAAACCTCTAAAACCATCAAATGAGGTCTTATAGGCCTGCCCTGCTTTGTCCTTTGTCTCTTCTCCCCTGCGCCAGATAAGGGGACGTGACTCGGCAGTCAATCAGTCTCTCACCCATTGTCTGAGTGGTGCTCGATATTTTCTCGTCTTGCCTCATCACTCATGACCGAGAACGCGTATACCACCCACCCGCTCACTCACTCCATCTCAAAAAAGACCGCAAATGGGTTTCTGGGCGCTGGTGCTCGTCTGGCAGTCTGGGCCGGGTGGAACTGCGGTGCGACGCAGTGCGGCGTGGCGCTTAATCAGCTCCAGAAAAAGGGAGCGCAGAATCGCCGAATTTACTAGGTCCAGGGAAGCCCAGGAGGCAGGGGAAACAGAGGAAGTCGGGCAGGACGATAAAGGTAGATAGATACCTAGGTGGGTAGGGTAGCTAGGGTAGGTGAGGGTAGTGTATACATGTGTGGATGTATTCGGTATGTATGTGCATTTGCTGAGGTGGAGCCAGCCTCGTCTGATGTGCATATTATGCAGGGTTCGCGCCACGGTGCCATGGTAGTGGGTAGGTAGGTAACCTAATAGGTCTAGTAGCAAGATAGGTAAGGTAGGAGGATGACAAGCTGAGTCATAGCTCGATGGATTTGGTGTCGAGAGGAGAGGAGAGTTACTCGGCCCAGAGTATTGCCTTCCAGTACTGCCAGTGTAGAGAGAGACTGAGACTTTGAGACCATCCTCGATCCAGCAATGGCTGGTCAAAAAGTGGACATGGCCGGTTCTTTCCCAGAGAGGCAGGAACTCTTGATTGTTGATTATGATACCTAGGCATGGACCGAGGACATAGGTATGTAGGTACGTATGTGTCGACGTCGAAGCGAGGCCGGTAATACGGCTGGAATGGGTGTTTGCTGTCGCGTTGGTTCAATTAGATTCAGCAGCCAGCTACCTAGGTAGCCGTGGCCTGTGTCGCTGATATGAGACCCTCACTTCCCGTCATGTTCGTCCTCACCTCGATTCAATCGCCGGTACATTCAGCCTTTGTGCAGGGAAAGAATGCTCCACAAGGGGACTGCCCCCCTTCCTATCAGTGACCATATTGACAGAGAAGCTCTTCTGCTCACTGGAGGGGACATGGTGGAATCTGAGGCGAGAGGTCAAGAGAGCGAGAGAGAAGGGGCAAGTGAAGTGCGTAGGAGGTTTCCTAGCGGGTATGCGTTCCGTGAACATTGTCGAAGCCCCTAACAGCTCTCGACCTGGCGATTTGCAGCAAGATGCTTTCAGCATAGAACAATAGTCTGCCAATAGTTGTTGCTGTCGCGCTCGTGTATCCACGGCATAGAATGTTCCATACGGATATTCTTGGCATAGTTTCGAGACCGGTTCAATGTAATGGTGCGCACCCAACCTGAACGGCTGGCATGGCGTGACCAGCGACGCCATACAGGGTGACGAGGCATAGAGCAACGCCACTCAGCCGTGGGATTGCGGACTCCGTACCCATACATCAGGTGGTCGACGTAGCATTCCCCAACCAGAGTATAGAGGCGCTCGTGAAGCTTGGATGGTCGCAGTATACATGGATGGCTGCCTCCTGCAAGGACGAAGATGAGATCGCCCGATTTGATCCCCGCGGGTCCAAGCCCCAGGTCCCCGTATCTGGTCCGAAACAATCGGCGTCCCCCCGTTGTGCGCGAAATGTGCTCGTTCCACTTGTGCCGGCCGTGCAGAAGTACGAAGTCGTGCTCAGTGCCAGCCACCCACT